AGTAGGCAAATTGGGACGCAGCATAAGTTTTGGTTTGGTTCTGTTCTTTTCCTGTTTGACTGTGTTCCCGATCCTAGTTTGTTTCCACGGTTACTGATTGTGTTAAAGCACCTGTCTCTAGTTCTGTTGATTAGCTATCCTGTGTACATCAGGCCCTCAAGTTTGTTCAGTTATTTGTCTTGTGTTGTTTTTACTGCCATGTGTTTCTCCTGTGATCACATTCATTGTGGATTACGTTCTTTGTTTTTGTTTATACATAAAGTGCTTTAATTGGATCCCCTTCTCCTCGTTTTGCCTGACCTGCTGTGACAGAACACAAGACCAACTGAAATTATGGATCTAGCAACTGCCTTCATTAATCTTACCCAGGAAGGACTCCATCTGTGGGAATATTCTATCCACTTTTATGAGTTGGCTAAAAGTTTGATGACACCAGTTTGAAGACCATTGCCAGAGATGGGTAATCTCACTTGGAGAGAGTACGTCCTCACCTGTTTTGAGTCTGCCTAGTCGGTGGTGATGGGTTCAATTGACCCAAAGCCAATAACATTCAAGGACCCATAGCCCATCCATCCATCCATCTTCATACAAAAAAGTTATGAAACACAATTTAACTTTTTTTAATATATCTTGTTTTAAGAATATTTAGCTATTAATAAAACTAGACAAAGATACTGATTAAGTACAAAAGAAAAATGTTTTAAGTGGCTTGTGTAACAATACTGCAGAATGTGTGTTTTTCCTCCAGACGATATCTCTGTGTAACAAATGAGGAAGTGGAAACTGATGAGTTAAGACCTTCACCACCCTCAGCACTGAAAAGATTTATGGTTGCAGACCTATCTAAGGGGGGTTAGACAAACTCAGCAGACACGCTCACTCACACACTCCCACAGTGGAGTGGATCCCCTCCTGTCTGTAAAGCTGGCAAGGGAGTGTGGGTTAGGCAGCCTGTGAATAAAGACACGCTGCTGTTTGGCTGCAAACAAACACTACAATTCATTAGTGCCTGCAGCGGAAAGGGCAGGGAATGAACCATTGCCTCAAGATCACTGACATGACTCACCAGCTCATAGACAAATCCTACTATCAAACCTGGTCAAAACTCGATAAAGACCAGTTTTAAGATAAGATAAGTTTTTTTTTAAGAAAGGTAGAGTACGTTAATATGGGACTATATGGAAGATAATACAAGCAAGGATTAAAAATAATTGAATTCATAACTATGTACAGTAAATAATTATAAAGTTACTTAAATATAAATTGTATTTTTATATAAATATAAACCACTCTGACTGACGCCATTTGTATTCTTTCAACCAACTGCCAAAATATGAGAATTGTGGTATATCATAGGCAGCAATAGATACACCTATATATGGAGGCATCCTAAATTTTGAGGTTCTAGGCAGCATTTTATGCGTTTCAGACACAGTCATGAAGCATGTGAATCTAAGACTTTACAATGAGTCACAGCTGCAGCAGTCTCCTCTATAGACACAAAGACTGTGACTCAAACAGCAGCTCAATGACAACCGTCAAAACAGTCTCTGTGTGGTTCCTCAAAGCTGGAAGTGAATTAGCAGTGTAATTCAAACGAACACAAAACGAGTGTGACTCTGATTCAGCTTGATGTATTATCATACACACAATGAGCTCATGTCAACACCAACACAAAATGAACCAGTGCAATTATTTCCGTCGGTTGTTTCTGATCGAGGAGTCTCTTCCAAATCCCTGATTGCACACACATGAAAACAGTAAAAAAAATAAAATACACACACTGTGGCATAGCCAGTTTGAGCGAATCCTTCTTCTAACAAGATTATGCACTGCCAGATTTAACTGCCAGGACAGTGACAGACGTAGTAAAGGGGCGGTGGTTCGATCGAGAGAGAGAGAGAGAGAGACGCACAATAGCCTTCTAAGTGCTCCTGTCAATGACGGACTGTGTTTGGGTGGGACATTCCATTAAGGGTCAAACAAGACCATTAAAACCAGTCAAACTCCACCCACTGATTTACTGGTTCAGGCTTATTAAAGCACACTCCACTGGACACATTGACAGATGGTGTCACGCTATGACAGAAAGCAGACTCAGCTGAACAGAATCCACTGTAATATCGCTGCGACAGCTACAAGAGGCCATACAAAACAATGTCACATGATTATCCGTGATATACTTTATAAATCACAATTACAGTACACTGTTAAAAATTCAAAGTGGTGAATAAAATAAAGATTAATGAAGAACGTTTTACAAGAAAAAAAACTATTTCAATCTTTCTACAGTACCTCAAAATTGGATGTATAATTGAATGTGTTTCTTGGTAAATATTTATTAAATTTACAAGCAATTTCTGAGTGAAAATTCTTTCAGAGTAAATCCTAAACCTTTTGTTCAGTGTAAGTCAACTGTACTTCATTCCACCCGGATTTACCAGGAAATCTAGCAATGAAACGATGGTTTCAGACTGACTTCTAAGGCAGCATAACGTCACATCTGATGATCTAGGACAAATTCAAGGTTTAGAGACATCCATGTCAATATTTAATGACTAGAATGTTTATTTCTTGGTATAAAGTTGAAAACAAAAAAACAACAACAACAGCATTTATAAATTAATCTTCTCTGACAGATGCCATTTTATATTTTCCTAACAACAGCTGAACTGCATGTACTGTTGTGTATTATTCCACCCTGGTTTCCCTCAAGGACGGTTTATTAAAATGACACGGTTCTCCTTCATTTCAAACGGTGTCTTGGGAAGCTTTGAGAAAAGACCTAAATGAAGACACATTAGCATACCTCTCTAATATGGCCAATCAATGGTATGGATCTACCCTCCCCCTACCCACTGACATCTGCCTTCGGCAAATCAAGTCTGACCTGTGACTCACTGTAACTGGATCAGCCAATAAAAACACTCGTAGCAACTGAAATAATTATATTTGTCAGAATAATGAGGAACGATGTTACAGTCACTCAGTAGGTCAAGGACATTCAGTCCAGCCGTGACGATTCCTACAGAACTGCTGCAGAATTTAAACCGGATACTAACAACAGTATTTAAAATATTCCATTCCACCAATACACCATTCCTAATATCGTTGAATTTACTGGCTTAATCAGTGACCAGAAGAAGTGATTTATAAGAGGTTTAAAGAATTTCTCTGTACTCCACAAGAACATGCCTTGCTCATTAGTTTAACTTTTGATGAGCTACATGGTAAAGCCTTGTTAATCCAGCCTTCACTATAAAATTGGTCTCTATAGCAAAATATAGCCTCCAGGACATTATGGGAATGAAATCAGTACTGTTATTCTCTTTCAACAGGAACTATTGCAAGACTGGAAGGTGATTTTGTATTCATCTTCCTCCAGCCTGACTGCTGTCCTCATGTGTTTGTGCCATTCTGTTCATTATTTACACACCACTTCCACTACACCCTTCTTCAGGACACATTGTATTTCAAACAGAACATGACTCCTAAGATATCAAGGGCAGATCCATCTGATGTAAAAGGTGAACAAACTCTTAGATGATGTAATAGTATCATATCGACTGACATGCAAGAGGAAGATTACAGCATCTTTGAGAAAGAACGCCACTAATGAAAACGTCACACTTACCAGTGTAGTTTTGCATGTGCAGATGAATTTCACAATACTAGTCCAACACAGTGGTGACCGAAAATAGTTCACTTTTCAATGCTTTTTCATTGTCTCTCCTTGCCCACTTAATGCAGTGGAATCTCAGATGACTCCAGTTATCTAATTTAATGTCAAACCTCAGACTCCACCAAACAGGCCTTGTAGAAGTGAATGTTATTCACATATTTACCATCTTAAGATTAGATACCAAAAAAAATGTTTGCAGTGAAACACACACACTTTGAAAAATGTGCCGGTCGCTCTTTTCCAAGCGATTCCAATGAATGGGAACTGAAGCTTTCAAGTTTAAAAAATGATGCAAAAATATCATAAAAATAGTCCAATTTACTCTTTGCACTATATTCAAAAAGACGTCTGAAACCACCATATCTCATAAGTTTATATATTATAATATATGTTTAGAATTTAAAAAAAAAATGTTTCACTGAAGCAGCAAAAGTCAAATAGGTTTTTGAACATGAAGGTGAGTAAATGATGACCGAATTTATATTTTTGGGTGAATTAAACATTTCCACCTTTTATTTAATAAATAAGCTATAAAATACTCAAATAAGTATTTGAAAATCCAGCCTTTGAAGAATTCTATCAAAGTTAAATCAACAACATGCCCTCCTTAAAATGTTCATTTCCCACTTGAGAATTAAGGAAACATTTCACATTAAGGAAAAAACAAACAAATAAACGAACAAACAAACAAACCATGAATCAATGGCACAAAAGCCTGAAGTAAAGAGCTATTGGATTGCCCCATGAGAGCTGATGTAAGGGTTTTATATAGTGACAACAACAACAACCCCATTATGACAATGGTGTGATCCATGCCTACTGCTTCTTCCTCTTTTCATTATTTATAATACACAAAGCACAGCTGTTGCAATGACAACAAATATTACCCAACCTTTTGCGCTTGAAGCAGAATGAATATCACAAGGATTGCCGGAAGATAAGAGACAAATCCAGCTGCAATCTGATAGAGCAGATTAATTTAAGGCTGCAAGAAATATTTCAATGAAAAAGTTTAAAAGCATGTCTGTGCTGAAATCATTCACAGCCTGGCTCTTTAACAGCTGCATGTATTACGGTTCAAACCATGTATATACAAAATGAATATGCCTGTGTTGGAATTTAAGAAAGTATTCCCATAAAAGGTGTATAAAGATATTCAACAGTACATTTCAGTCAATCACTTTTGAGTATATTTTGAGTGAGATACGAGAAAGTCCAAAGGGTGTGATAGAAAGAGCAACTCAAAGATCTTGAGGGAGAGAAAGAGAGATTGAGATATTGGAGTTTTGTCAAATATATGACAAAATGAGACACTCACCTCCCAGGCTCATCGATCTTCTATGGGCGAAGCAAAGAGGGACGTCGAGGTTGACGAGTTAGGGGCCTTGCAGTCGATCCTAATAATCAGGGTCGGAGCTCGGGATCAGGATGCTGGAGATGGGGAAAAAACGGCTCAGCTCCAGACGGGTGCAGAGTCAGACAGTGCCAAACATTTCACTGCAAATACAGAAACAGAGGAAAAATGATAAATACAGATATCTATATGTTTTTTCCTTCGCTTTACTAGTCATATATGTAACCCATTTTGGTAACACTTTACTTGAAGGGGTGTACATAAGACTGACATGACACCTTCATAACCATGACATGACATATGTCATGAATATGAAGTAGGGTTTATGCATGTTTATGACAACTGTCATTAAGTGTCTTTCGCTCAATAATGACATTTTGAATGCAAATATGACATTGTTTAAGATGTCTTTGTTATGACACCTTGACATAAACCATAACATCATAACCTGTCAGTGTCTTTGTCATGACAACTTGACATTAAATTAAGTTAAACTGTCATGTGGTTGGTTTTGACATTGGCTGTCATAAGGCCATTATAACTGTGTCATGAATATTTTTCGTGACCTCAACTACAGTGGTACAAATTGAATTTGTCATTAAACAGTTATAATGGCTTCATGACAGCCAATGTCAAAACCAACCACCTGACAGTTTAATGTAATGTTAACCAATAAAGCTAAGTGGTTTCTTAAGTTTGATAATTAATCTGCTATGTCACGTTTATGACAGGTTGTGTTGTCTTAGTAATGTCAAGTTGTCATGACAAAGACACTGACAGGCTATGATGTATTGGTTTATGTCAAGGTGTCATAACAAAGACATCTCAAACAATGTCATATTTGCATTAAAAATGTCATAATTGAGCGAATGACACTTAATGACAGTTGTCACAAACATGCATAAAACTTCCTTCATATTCATAACATGTGTCATGTCATGATTATGAAGGTGTCATGTTAGTCTTATGCACACCCCTTCAGGTAAAGTGTTACCCACATTTTTAGCATAAACCGCACAAAATTTCATTGTAGTTAAAATATGAACTTAATTAAAGATATATTCTCTGAAAAAAGCCTCACCTTACACAATTTAGCTTCTCAAATAATATTTATATTAAATATTTGCTTACTAGACAAAATAAAATACAGATGCAGTTTAATTTTCATAAGAACTTTTATGCCCGGTTTCACAGACAAGGCTTAAGGCTAGTCCGTCTAAAATGTATGTTTGAGCTGTTTTAACTGAAAGCAACTTGTAAAGACATATCTTAAAATATGTCAGTGCTACTGTTTTGTCTCAGGATGCAGACCATTAATGTTTTTTTCGAAGGCACATTTAAACAAAAAACTACTTAAAGGTCCTATTTTAGCTAATGCCTACTCCTGGCTTAATCGAAGCCATGTCTGTGAAACCAGGCCTCAAACAATTTTGCATCAATCAGGATGAGAGAAAAAAGATGGTGTGTGATGCTTGCTGCCAGGATACTAGGGCATTCTGGGTGGTTGCCAGGGAGTGGCTATGTGGTTGGTGTCATGGTGGCAAATTTTTCATGTGTAGCTAGCATGTTTTGAGTGATTGGTAGGCAGTTATTTTACATTTAGTCATTTAGCAGATGCAGTTTATTTATTAACCCTTGTCAAAAGAGTCCACTCACAAGACCCTATATTTGGCTTGGGTCAGTCAATTGGATTGTATCATCTGTCTGGTGTCTGATCTTTCAGATTAGCAATACAATTCAAGCAATTATTCATGCCTGTTACACAAACGGTGCAGGACTGTTGGGTTAGGAGTTTTAAAAAACATGAGCATTAGCAATTGATGCTTGCTTTAGCTCAACACTCAAAGCCCTCAATATAGCAAAGCAAATTTGCACTGCAACTCCTCCTTTATTAATGATGCATAAGGTGGTCACAAAGTAAAACTGAAAAACATTTTAAATTTAGTATCAGCTGCAAATCTCGGTCATGAAAACTGCTAAGCTGAACGGACGGGACGAATCTACATTTAAACCCACAGCCACACCAAACTGTCAAGGCAATTAAGAATACTGGAGATATAGGAGGAATCCTTCAGACAGCTGTTTGACACAATGCAAGATTCACTGACCATAAATCTTGCTTTAGCTTATTGTACTTTAAGAAAGGTCACCACATGATCGAAAAGATAAATAAGGTTTTTAAAACTATTTTTAATGTGTGTATAAATCGGCATTTCATTGTGGATTTAAAAAAAGAAAGAAATTGCAGTAGTAAACAACATAAGAAAGCAGTCACTTTGAAAGGTTGACCAATGTTTGTTTTATGATATTCATACTTTTACCCAATCAAGTCTATCAATACATACACCCAATCAATGCCAAAATCGTATCTAATCTAATCTAATAAAAAATATGTTTAAAGCTGCAGTCCGTAGCTTTTTTTGGGTTAAAAATTATCCAAAATACATATTTGAGAAAATACATAACCAGCCAGTGTTCAAAACTCTCTGCTTGCCTTAGCTCGATTCAAAGCGGTAAGCTTGTAATAATGTTTTTAATTCCAGTGGTACTGGTGGATTTCCGCGGGAGATTCGAGCATGTCTTTGCGTCATTACGTCACATCTGTACACATAAAGAAGGAGTCTCGGCTAGTATAAGCTATATTGCGTGTGAGGATGTTTGAAGTGGAGATTTATAGCCTTTTCTCACAGCACTTGATATAATTAAACTTATCAATTTGATGGCGGATCCAGAAAGGTTCAAACGACAATCACCAGTGACAACAGATTCACCCGCTGTAAAATGCAAAAGACTTCGTTCGGACTTCGGAGTGGCTACAGAAAAAAAGAGACTGCAACCGGACCCATGCGAAAACAAGGATACATATCGGAATCGAAAGGACATTACATGTAGTCACGCAATGCTGACGGTGTTAACATTAACAATTTGAGAACAAAGTATAATTTGCACGGTTTTGCGTGATATGATAAGTGATTGTTAGATTTAATCAGCGTGATTTACTGCAATGTCATGTACTAATTCAGATGACATTTTTCGGTGAAAATTATTATGTTGGTCTTACTTCCAAAAAGAATAATCTGTGATTCTGAATGCCAGTATCCACACATAAAGTTGATAATTCCGCGAATAACTGCAATTGCAGATTTCGAACAGAGATGGTGACAAAGAGGAAAAACTGCGGACTGCAGCTTTAAGTATCTATCAATACATACACCCCTCAATGCCTTAATATGATATAATATAATATATTATAATAATATAATATAATGAATAATATAATAAAACATATTATAAAACATAAAAAAAATTGCTCTATACTGATCATCCCACTGTTTACAAAAACACTACTGCTAATCCTATTATTATTTTCACTGTGGGGTCATGTAGGGGGTAAAATGGCATGGCTCGTGATTGTTTGAGCCCCGCAAGGAAGTATCCATGAGCAATCATCACTGAGGCCTTGAGGAAGCCACTTCACCCCAGGCTGCTTTAAGGGGTTTTGTCCCTGTAACAAGAGCACTGGAAGTCGCTTTGGATTAAAGCATCTCATAAATGACAACATGCTGGTTAAGTGGACACAATAAAACATGGCATATATTCTGACTAGAGTCAACTGACTATAAAGACAATGACTTTCAAAATTAAACCCACCCTAGGAAATGTTCACTGGCGTAAAAATATACATCCGGGCATATGTTTTATATTACAAACACACTCGCATATAGCCTTTCTGCTGCTGAATGTTACACACATTCATCCAGCATATAGTCCTCCTTCTAGGCTACTGCCAGTATCTAGGCCACAGGCTCCATCATATCTGTCCTAAGCTGACAGTGGCAGTTAAATTTGTGTTATGTGAAAGCCTCTCCCAGGCCTTTTTCATTCACCAGTACAGCACTTCTTCTACCCCGGGGCGTGCGATGCGTGCGTGCACGTATGTGTGCGTATGAATGATGGACGCGTTTATGCTCCCTTTCACTATCTGTTCATGTCCAGCACTGTGATTTTGGGAATTGTGCCCCATCACTTCACTCAGCCACCAGGCAGTCTCTTTACAGCAAAAAAAAAAAAAAAAAGAAGAAGAAATCCTAGAGATAATGACACATTCAGGATGGAAAATGTTTTCTTCTCATTTTATCTACTGAACAAGACAGCAGTAATTTAATGTATGACTAAAGGAGGCTCCATCCCACATATATGCTCATGATAAAAAGCTACTGTCTTCATGTATAAATGCTACTATTTGTAATGAGCTGTGATTTAGAAGAGCTGATATTTTCGCTAGGAGCACTATCACCTCTGCGACTTGTGAACAGACTGTATTTCCACATTTTAATTGACTAGAGAGCATTTCATCTACAGGAGCATCATCTAGAAGGTTTTAGGTCAGCCACTTTGTAAAGAGAGACACTCTACATTCTCTACAATCAATTCAGTTTACTAATAAAGCATACTGTATATAGGCTATTATATAAATTCTTAGTTGAATAGTGATGTGCATGTTTCTTTGCAGCCATAGTATGCTCTATGAATTTGTCTAGCATAACAATGTACTTAACTATATAGCAAAAGGTCTAAAAATAGTTTTATGTGCCATTTAGTAGCAAGTGATACCACAATAATAGACAAGCTTAAGAAATATTTAAACAGAACAGAACAGAAAACACAAAGTGTGTATAGAATCTGTGTCAGAATTTCTGCCCATCTATAAGTAATAAGCACTGACTATTTAACAGACATAATTCCGAACATATATTTCTGCTCGTGGATGTTTAGTTTACTTGTTTCTTTGTTTCCAGGCGGACTGATAATTTTTTTTTTTTAGCCAATAAGATTAGAGCAGATCAAGAAAGCACTTTCCAGTTTTTAGTGAAAATGCATCAGATGGTCAGTGAATGCACTGTGGGCGATCCGTGGGCATGTCGTCTCGGACTGAAAATATCTATGAATAGGTCTTGCAGTAGGCAGAGTGAGAAAGTCAGACCGTCAGACATCTTTTCTCTTGCTCACTCAACCGTGTCAGATTGAGAGGAGGAGCAAACACTATCTTTAACCCATATTCAACAATATCTAGAAAGGCCTTTGCAATTTCTATTTTTTTAATATCCTTACTCTTCCCAACAACACAAGCTGACAGAAATTG